ATCGTTGTTCAGGTTTAATTGACCACTTATGGATTCATGGTTGTCCACGGTTCCGAAGAAGACTTTGTTTTGCAATTCATCGCTAGATATCGAGGTGGCTCCACAATTTAAGTCTGGGTGCACATAATCTGGAACAATGAGGATGTCATGATGAATTGATGAATTTCAAAAAACAGACCGTTGAGGAAGAATTTATATTGGGGAAAGTTGTTGCACTGGGGTAATTCCACTCTCTTGACCTTGATAGTCATTATCCAGTGGCACGGGTAACCTTTACAACCGGAGAACTCCAGGTTGCAATAGATGACCAGGATTTCTTTTACTCTTATAGATTCGGTAATTTTATAGTCATAAAAACGGTAACCAAATTAAAACGTTCCTCTTGACTGACATTTCACACGTAATGCCTAGTAAGAGTTGCCTTCGAATAAAACAATAGACAAATTTTTATAATAGTATATCTATTCAGGACGTAGATGATAATGGCTTCCACAGATTCCTTTTCTTTATTATCTGTTAATTGCTATATATTCCTGGGAACTATATTGGAGTAGTTTCAATTGTATTCTACATGGTTTGAACTTCAGAGCTTTCTTTCTCCCAGACTTGTTGCCACCCAAGGCTTAGAAAGTGAAGTTTAGGCTATTATTTAACCCATAACTACAGGGAAAAGAAATTTGTTCAGGTAATAGACAAGGCTAGATTTGAACTCGTTTAGCTGATTTCGCTTTCAGTACCGATAACCGTTACACTAACCGCACATCACGTCTGTGAATAAAGTACCAGAAAATACTGTAAAAAATAATACATTGATGTGACAAGCATCCTAGACACTTTTACTTCGATGACGCCCATGTATTTTTGTTGGAGGATTGTTACAAGGGAGATAACTCTCATTTTTAAAGCAAAGCGAAAGTTATTTCTATTGCTTTCAATTAAAACCGATAGCGTAAAGTATTATTATTATAATTTTTGAAAAACACTTAAAAAAGAAATGTAAATATTAAATGAAATCAAGATTCAGAGAATAAAAAAAACTTTATATAAAAGTGCAGTCAAGAAGTTTGCAGACATTTTGGTAGGCGGGAAGTATAATTTTCCTAAATTATTGCAGTTTTAGTATATAATTATTATACATCTAATAAGTTGTCTTGCCAAATTTTATTATTCTAGATTGAAGAAGACGGTTGGAAAAGCTCTTTGAACACGCCCTGCTAAACACAGGTGTGCCAAAGTAGACAAGTCTGCAGAATGCAATCAGGACGTGAAGACAATTTGGCAGTTCACTATTGTTGCGTTGCAGATCAAACCAGAAACCAGGTTCGTTGACAGGGTGCAGTTTCTTGCAGTCAAACGCTAGTGGCTTCAAAATTACCCTTCGGTCAGATCGTTACCCATGAGTGAAAAACAAAACAACTCAAAAGCGAAGGATTTTCGGACATAAGGACTTTTGTTTCTCCAAAGTTTGTAAAAGTATTTTTGATACACCATATATATATATATATATATATATATATATATATATATATATATATATATATATATATACTGCTGGCCAATGAAAATAAAGAAAAGTATACCTTTTGCGTTATTATACTCAACCAATTATTTGAGTAGCGTTTCAAAAGAAAAAAAAATTAAAATAAGACTTTTTAGCATTTAATAGGGGAAATTTGAATACTATGAAATTATGCTAAATATTAGATAGAGTGTATGTAAATATAAAAGTTGACACTGAGATCAACACCAAGCGGCAACAGTCTGTTTCATGTTTGAATGCAATCTTCAAGCCATCTGTGTCGTATTTTGGCTCAACATTTTATATATGATGGGCAGTAGTGCATTATGGGTAGAACGTCTATTGTATCATCCTAACTGTTATTCGGTAATCGATAATGGCTATGTTTCAATTTATTCTAAAGGTTATTGTGTAGAAATAATGGTGGATCCGCGTACGGTTATTTGTAACTATTTCATAGTGTTGATAACGTTTACTTGATATTTATTATTGAGGATTGCGTTCAAGCATGAAACAGATTGTCGTCGCTTAGTGTTGAAATTATTTAATGAAACACACACACACGCACACACACATACACACATATATATGTTTCATTAAATAATTTAAACAAGTTTACGAGAGGATCGTATTAAAAATAAGTAGACACAACTCGTCTAATTTATTTACCTGTCTTAATGAAAACATGGTGCCAAAATATACGCAATTTATATATATATATGTGTGTGCTTGTGAGTAAGTATATATATGTGTGTGTTTATATATATATATATATGTATATATGTGTGTGTATGTATATATGTGTGTATTTATATATACGTCTGTGTGTATATATATGAATATATGTGTGTGTTTATATATATATATATCTGTGTGTATATACGTATGTGTGTGTGTGTGTGTGTGTATATGTGTATATGCATATGTGCGTGTTTACATATATATATGTTTTAAGATATTTTTTATGTTTATCCAAACAGTTGGATTGGTCTTGCTTTTATGTCCATCGTCTTTTTCATGTTGAATTGAATATGGTCTATGTTAATTATGTTTTATGAATATGCCCTGAAGATGGTCTATTAGACCGAAACGTCCGACGTTGACATTATATTAACATTAAAACAGCATAATTGCATATTAGGATTTTTGTTTGTTTTTTCCGTATATTTTTCTTCATACTGTCGGATCTATATCCATATATTTGCTTACATATATATATATATATATATATATATATACACGTTTCATTAAATAATATAGACAAGTGTTGTCTATTTATTTTATGTAAAATTTTTTCGTATCTTCTGATAAGTTTGATAACATTATCATTAACCGAAAAAGGAAATTCACAATATTTATCCATTATTTTTTTAATATAATCTAAGCTTTCGGCTTACTCAAGCCATTATCAAAGATGTAATTACAAACATATCAAACAATATACGGACACGACAGTGATGATAGTCTGTCATTGTTTAGTTTACGTTGTATATATATATTGTTAATATGATCGAAGAAAGGGACTTCAGTAGTACAAGTTAATAGTAGTTTTCTTAATATATTAGGATTAATTTTAAGTGGGGGTAAAGATGAGTTACTGTATATATTTCTTATATAAGAAATATATACAGTAACTCATCTTTACTTGTACTACTGAAGTCCCTTTCTTCGATCATAATAACAATATATATATACAACGTGATGGTGTCTCCATGGGTTCAGTATTGGGCCCGACATTTAGCAATTTCTACATGTCGAACCTCGAAAATAAGTTATTTACAGATTTTAAAAACCATCAATCTACCTAAGATACGTTGATGATATTCTTATGTTAGTTAAAAATACAGATGAAATAATTCAACTTCAAAAACGGTTCCAAAATAATTCTGTCCTTAAATTCACATATGAACTCAATACTAATAATAAAATCTCCTTCCTTGACATATTGATAAACACAAATAATAACAAATTTACTATTTCGCCATACAAAAACCTACAAGCATAAATTCATGTACACTTAACTACAAGAGCGAATGCCCATATTACTACAAAATAGCAATTATAAAGAATCTAATACATCGTGCAGAAACTAATTCATCCACCAAACAGATTTTTTACAGTGAACTAAAGAATATAAAACAGACACTTATTAATAATAGCTTTCCAAACTATATAGTTGATGAACAAATAAGATGCTTTCTTAGAAATCTCAATAATAAGCAAATTGTACATAATACTGCTTCTACTGATCTCAAATATATTAATCTCCTATATCGTAATCAAATGCATACTAATTATAAACAAGATGAACACATACTAAAAAATTTAGTAAATTCTAATATATCAACTACAGATCCTAGCAAAAAAATTAAATTAATCATATACTACACTAAATCTAGTATATCCAACTTAATACTTCGCAATGATTCTTCTCCCCCGGTTAGCGATTTGCAAAAAACCAACATAGTTTATAAATTCAAGTGCCCTTTGGGAGAGTGTATCTCCAACGAATTAAATAATATTTATGTTGGTCACACCACAGACTCGCTTTCACGACGCTTGACACTACATTTTAATGAAAACTCTAACATTTTTGGGCATTTGGGACAACATGCCTGCCCGCACACACAATTCCGTAAAATACTTGTCGAAAACACAACTATACTTCGACATGAAAACAATAGACAAAAACTAAAAATACTTGAGGCATTATACATCAAACAGTTAAAACCCAACCTAAACAAAATCAACTATGGAATCTCTACAAATATTCTTAAATGTCTATAATTTCTATAATTGCTAACAGAAGCCATTGGTTTATACCAACGGCTTTCCTTATTTCATTCTCAATTCACTCTCGTGTAGTCATGTGTGACGTCATGAGATGCGGTGCGATTTTCGCTTCTAGCGTCTTATATGCGCGTGTTCATCGTTGCTTAGTGATCCACTATGTAAACTAAACAATGACAGACTATCATCACTGTCGTGTCCGTATATTGTTTGATATGTTTGTAATTACATCTTTGATAATGGCTTGAGTAAGCCGAAAGCTTAGATTATATTAAAAAAATAATGGATAATTATTGTGAATTTCTTTTTCGGTTAATGATAATGTTATCAAACTTATCAGAAGATACGAAAAATTTTACATAAAATAAATAGACAACACTTGTCTATATTATTTAATGAAACGTGTATAAATGAAAATATGCTGCCTAAATACACACATATATATATATATATATATATATATATATATATATATATATATATATATATATATATATATCTGTGTGTGTATATGTCTACGTGTGTGTGTTTGTGTGCGCGAGCATACCTTCTAGTTTAAGAATATTTTGTTAACTCCTTACTATTCCTAATTTTTCACATATGTTTTAAAACATGTTTTCCCAAATATTATTGTTTACCTATTTTCACACCCAAATATAAGCAATGAATTACAAAGTAAAGTCAGCCTTACCTTGTTCCAGGTTCAAAGCGTACTCATTTTGCATAACCTTTTCCGACACATCCCTGATTTTAATTGCACAAGGAGAAGGAATACGAGCCCGGTGACTTTCGTAAGCATATCCGTTGTAGAAACCATTCATGTAGATAGTGTCTGAATAGACCGCTGTAGCAATGTGACCGTTACCAACAGTAGGGAATAATTTCGGATCGTCTGGCATTCTGAGGAATAAAAAAAAAGAAAGCAGACAATGATTTAATTAATGCATATCGTTGGTGTGATGCTAAAACAATGTAAATTCTTTTTGTAAAAGACATTCGCTACAACCAGCAGATATAATCTCTCCTTGTGCTGGTCGCCAAATACAACAAAGCTGTCTAGGTTTCGATTATCGTACTAGGGAGGTAGGTGCTACAGTTCGGTGCAGGCGACTTGCAGTCGGTGCAATCAGTTTCGCCGCCTCGTTTCCATCACCAGAATTTGTATCGTCTAGTGCAAGGGTCGGCAACTTACGACTGACATACGAGGTAGCAGAAATCTAAAGACAGTTAAACATACGCGCATTAAACATACATGCCTCATGAATGTGTGGATGATACCGCACGTGTACGTATGTAAGTGTATATGTTTGCAACTATTTGTACTCGTATGTATGGGTATATGTGCTTCGTTTTTGTTTGATGTGTGTGTGTGTGGTTCGTTTGTGGAACAATTTTCAATAACAGTTTCAAACCTACACGTCATAATTTCATCCATTTCACTTTGAAGTGTTTTGACGTTCCTTGAGGAAAAGTAATTTTTGTTAGGTGTTTTTAATTTTAGATTTTCTTTTGTTTTTCTGATTTCTCAATGTTTATTTTCATTATGGTTTTAAATATTTAAGTTGACAGGGGTCTGCATATGTAATTTTCCTTAATTTTTCATTAAGGTCCTTCGTCCGGCCGGCGACCCGTCATTATAACACGATCCGGCCCGCGGGGTCGAATGAGTTGCCGACCCCTGGTCTAGTGGAAATTGCTTGTGGTGCGCCTGCGCAAAATGACAGGCCGTAACTTTGTTGATCAGGTCGAGATTATGATCGTAGGGTTTCTTCAACGTTAGGCGATCTTTGCTGTAAAAGGTGTAAAATGTGTTTACAGGAGAAACAACGTTGTTGAACATTTATCAACAATTTAACTAAAGATGAAATGTAAAATTCGTACAACATCTAAGAGGACTGTTTCGTCCCCATCATTCTATGTTCTACCTTTGAGGCACTGAGGGACGTATATTTTTTAAGTAATGCGGTAGTACTAACATCTTAACAGCGATTGGATTCTACGCTGGATTTTTCTCTAATGTATAATGAATATGAAACGGGCTGCCGGTTTTCTTGGGAGCGTTTGTCTTCAATACACGCTTAATATCACCGGTAAATGGTTTCTGCGCATGCGTATTTCATTTATATAGCCTTCAGACAGGGATAGACATGATTAAGTAGCTTCTAAAAGAACCTCCAGTTATATAAAGCTGATGATTATAAAGTGTTTTTTAATTTGGGCCTGGATTTCCATTAAAATCAACGTGAAAAAAAATAATACATAAAGTTACCATGCAGAATTTCGACAAACTCATTAGTCATATCATGCCAACTTCCTTGTGGTTATGGAGTTGGGTCAAGGGCTCCAGTTATACTGGATCATACTAAACATTATTTAGTATAATTTGAGATCAAACTCTTCCGAGGCCCTCCTTAAATGTATTTTATGAGATAAATTAACATTTTTAATTGTACTTTTTTCCCATCACACCCCAATCTGATTAACAATTCTCCTGTATATTTTCCTCCCAATATCTCTACTCTCTCGCTCAGTATTATTATTAATTTTCTCAATATCTCAAATCATTAACCACTTTCCACGCACTAGTATGACTCAATCAGGGCCACAGATGTGTTACATCCACTTAATACTCGCACTTGAAAAAAGAAAGGTGAGTTGGCATAAACGTTCTCATACGTCGCCGTAAGAAACAAAGAAAGCCACGTTCCCATAGACGTTCTCTTACGTCTCCGTAAGGAATAAAGAAAGCTAAGTTCCCATAGACGTTCTCTAACGTTTCCGTAAGGAACAAAGAAAGCCAAGTTTCCATAGACGTTCTTTTACGTCTCCGTAAGGAACAAAGAAAGCCACGTTCCCATAGACGTTCTCATACGTCTCCGTAAGGAATAAAGAAAGCTAAGTTCCCATAGACGTTCTTTAACGTCTCCGTAAGGAACAAAGAAAGTTAAATTGCCATAGACGTTCTTTTACGTCTCCGTAAGGAACAAAGAAAAGTTCCCATAGTTACGTCTCCGTAAGGAATAGATGTTCTCTTAGACGTTCTCTAACGTCTCCGTAAGGAACAAAGAAAGCCAAGTTTCCATAGACGTTCTTTTACGTCTCCGTAAGGAACAAAGAAAGCCACGTTCCCATAGATGTTCTCTTAGGTCTCCGTAAGGAACAAAGAAAGGTAAGTTGCCATAGACGTTCTTTTACGTCTCCGTAAGGAACAAAGAAAGGTTAATTACCATAGACGTTCTTTTACGTCTCCGTAAGGAACAAAGAAAAGTTAATTACCATAGATGTTCTCTTACGTCTCCGTAAGGAACAAAGAAAGGTTAATTGCCATAGATGTTCTCTTACGTCTCCGTAAGGAACAAAGAAATCCAAGTTCCCGTAGACGTTCTCTTACGTCTCCATAATTTCTGTATAAACATTTTCAGCAAAACGTCTATTTTCTTAATTTCCTTTTGTCATTAAGCTGTGTTTCAGTTTCTTACTCTGGACACAGCTACACAGAGCTGCCCATGAGAGAAACATCTGAATAATTTTCTTATGGTTATAATAATAATAATTTAATTAATTCATTAATTAGTAAACTTACTATTTTCTCTTTTGAAAAAAATCTCCTGGTATCTCGTCTTTCGTCACTTTCCCATGGTTGCAATGTAGTTCCCTCTGCATTTTCTCTAAATTCTTTCATGATAATTGTTCAAACAAGCTCTCCCACTTGGTACCTCGAATGCATGAATTGAAGCGCAGTACTAGATTGGCTACTAGGTCTCATCGTTTTAATATTGAAATAGCTAGATGTAACCGTAAGTTCTATTCTAGTATTTTTACGCAATTCTCGCCTCTAGAATTCTCTTCCAGTTTCTTTCTACCCTGTCACCTATGATCTTCGAAAATCTATAAAACCCATTATATGAAAAATCCCACACCCATACAAAGATATCAAATTACGCCAAACCATGCATAAATGTGATAAAATTGAGTAGCAGCAGAGAAGATAACACTGCTGAAGAAAGAAAACATTACTGCGATGCGTTCATGAAACTTCGAAGTCGGCATGACTGAACCAACACCATTCCGTTAAATGATAAGTTCCTCAAAATCATATATATATATATATATATATATATATATATATATATATATATATATATATATATATGTATGTATATATATGTATGTGTATATATATATATGTATATATATGTATATATATATACATATGTATATATATATATATATATGTATGTATATATATACATATGTATATATATATATATATATATATGTATATATATATACATACATATGTATATATATATATATATATATATATATATATATATATACACATGTATGTATATATATATGTATATTCATATGCATATATATGTATATATATATGTATTTGTATATATATATATATATTCATTTTTATAAATACATATATATTCATATATACATATATGTATTTGTATAAATACATATAAACATACATATATATTCATATATACATTTGTGTAAATACATATATACATACATTTAAAATTTGTAACATCAGTCTTCCTGAAACCCGTTCTTTTATCGCCATTTCTCCTCACTAATGTTTTCTCATTTTCTTTCACGCTTAGTCTTAGTGGCTTTATTGCCTTGCTTGGAGTGAAATGATTAAAAAAGACTAACAAAGAAGATCTCCACAAATATCATTGTAGTTTCTTTTATAAGTGCATTTTAAATAAAATCACATCTAAAAAGATTGATTTTTATCATCCTTATATATTATGAATGTAAACCTGATCATAATATCTATAGGTTGTACGACTTATAAATAACGGGTATTAGTCATGTATTTTAAAAAAAGAATTTTTTCTGAAAATACCATGATCCGAACATGTGAGCAACGACAAAGTTTTAGAGAAAATGGAAACAAACAGGACATATTTAACACCAGGGAGAGATAGTTGAAATTTCATGGGCACATAATCAGGAAAGAGAGCTTGGAGAATTTGACACTTACAGGACAGATTGAGGGCAAGAGGGACAGAAGAAAACAACGCATAAACTACCTACCGAGCGCGCTTGAGTAAGTGGACGAGAGAACAAGGGAGATAGCAAAAGAACAGAAAATTTATTAAGAGCTACAAAGGACAGATAATCGTGGAAAGCCATGATTGCCAACATCCTGAAAGTACATAGTACTTAGAAGTAGATGAATTGGAGAATGCGGGGTTGGAGATTATCATTATTATTGTTGATATATGGTTGCTTATGTCAGTAATTTTCAGTCGTTTATGGTATTAGATTTATTGAATACTAGCAGTAGAGCCCGGCGTTGCCCGGGGATGTAACAGTAAGAGATAGATCAAGTATCGACCATCATAAAGACTGAATAATAAAATTGACAAATATTATTGTTTAAGTTTGACGGACACGCATGTCTTAATTATTTTTTTTGTTTTTGGGGGTTTTTTTTACGAATTGGTCAAGCCCAAACTCAAACAAAAAAATTGTTTTTATCGTTATGAGTCTACCGATTGAATAGAATTTTATTATAAACAATTGTCTTGCAAATGGAATTTTTAAAGCATTCTGAATGTAAAAATAAAGAAAAAAGTGTGAAAGATAATAAGAAACACTACCTGCCAAAAAAAGTGAAGTTTTGTTGAAATCGGTTGAAAAATGTAGGAAATCCGATCCCATATATAAACGAACACACACACATACAAACAACCTGGGTTTTATAATAAGTATAACTCGACATGTTGTCCCCCCCGCTTTCATTCCCGAAAGAGTGATGCCTCTTAATCGTGTTTTCAAATTGATTTCGTGCAAAAACAATTATGTTTTTCCAATTTTTGGCGCTGTCAGAACCACCGTAAGGTAATTTTACGTAGTCCTGTGAAGTTTTG